AACAGTTTCTGCATCACAGGTCCCCAAACACGGGTCATGGGGCCCAGCTGGGTGTGAAGCGGATGCAGGTCCACTTTTCCTCCGTGTTTCTCGAAGTCTGGAGCAAAAGGAACTGTGCCTGGAACTCGCCCGTTGGGGATTATACCAGAGTTTTCACGAGCGTATGGCGAACCTCCATCTGGCAATTATGTAAGGCCTTACAATCTGAGCTGGAACCTCTCAGTATCCCACATCTCGTAGATTCTGGCAAGCATGCAAGCAGGGGTCTCTTTGAAACGCGGAACAGCAGCTCTGCTTCATAGGTCAGCGAAACATGTCCTCGGAGCTCACGAGGAAATGACATTGATGCATCTGCTGCTACCTGTTGACATACCTTCGCCCTTGCTATCTAACAACTCTGGGCTCTGCACCTACACTACTACACTACAGAACCTACACTGCAAGCCAACAGGAAGAGAAAGGTATCAATAATAACCCAATTCTACTCTCTGTCTTGTACGTCCCCTTTCTGCATAGAAGAGACTGCTCAGCCTTGCAAGTTATGCCAAGCCCCATTCTCCAAGCCCTACTGCGCAGTGCGCGTAACCCTCAACATAGCGGATTAGGTGATGTGGACGCTGTCTGACATCTGCTCTAGACCCCGGGCTGTGTTTGCGGATTCCATGCGCAATGCAGCAAAGTGAGCTGTTAGCCTCCATTTAATCCATGCAAAGCCCCGATTACTACCAACAAAGCCCTTGACAGGCAATCGCTACAGAGATACTTGGGCATCGGCAATAGGCAATAGTTCATCTACTTCTTATGATATGCTTTGTTGGGTCCTGCTGATCCCGATTAGCCATGTTGAGCTAAGCCCGGCTCTTGATGTTCACCTCCCATCCTGTGCAAAGACCCGCAGGACTCGTTTAAAGTCTTGACTCCTTCTTTGCTTTCTTAGTTTCGCTATGACAGCTTTATGCAGCTGTGGACTCTAGTCAAGAAGCCCTAGATCCAAACTGCAATTCCTGAGTCCGATAAACTTTCACAACACACAACATCCCTAGGCTTTTACCCCAAAATCCTACTAAGAAACTCGACCACGTGAAGGGCTCAGGTGGCCGATAAAGAGAGGCTCAGGTGGCCGTGACGGTTGCAGCAATGATGGGCCGCTCGTCCTAGCACACTCGAACTGGCTGTTCACCAACACCAGCTTGAACAGAAGAACCCCGAAGCTTAAAACACGCCCATATAAACCCTAGACTCCTAAATCCCAATCTCAAATGGTGTCCTGGCCCTCGTCGCTCTGTGCAAAGCGGACAACGAAGGATATTTCTCGGGACGTAATGCAATGAGCTTTCCTTTCATGGCTTGAGGGTTGAGGGTTTGGGGTTTGGGGCCGAGGGCTGAGGCTTTTCCTGCACAGGCATGTTCATTCAAGACTGCTGGATGCATGAGTTTGGTAGTTTCAGGTCCAGGGCTTCCGTGGCTAGTTTGAAACTACACTTTTGATCGTAGAACTTTCTTGACGTAGGCCGCTGGGTTTGGGGTCTTGCTGCGGTCTTGCTCGTCAAGTGCTTCATAGTGCTTCTCGTCTCGATTGCCATACCCCAAGCGCTAAAATCGGGGTTAAATGCCTGCATCCCTGTCTCTCGATGCTAGACTCGGACTACCTTCTCTTGCGTGATGCATACGTATATGGGGCTTGCGGTTTTGGAAGCTGCCACCACAGGTTTTTCAAAATCAGGACGCAGTGCTGTGTAGGAATGAGTACGGATATTGTCAGTGTGTCCTGCCACCTACGTGGACTGCAAAACGCATACCCTAGCGGCGGGTGATTTGCCATGCCACATATGGCACAGAGAAACATTTGAAGAGGCAAAAGAAACGCGGCATGTTACGGCGATGTTTACACGTGGAGGAAGTACGAAAAGTCTAAAAACCAGGTCGTTACGCCGCGTCAAGGAGCTTCCACGCAAGAGGGGGAAGAGCAGACTATACTTTTGTGTCGAGCTGAGTTCCTTTCGGCTGTCACTTTCAAGCTCTCTTGCATGTACTCACGGATGGATGTTATCATGGTTTGAGAATGCGTGCTCTGGTCATCGGATGCGCCCGACCATTAACATTATCATGGTTTGGCAAATGTTCTGGTCATCAGATGAGCTGGCACCTGGTTGTTCTCACGGTCTGTGTTATCAGCTGCACTTAAGCATGGGCATTATAGCTGCGCATGGATGATCTGGCTTTCAGATGTGCGCAGGGATGGATGATATCATGGTTGGATGCGGCTGTTCCGGTTGTTAGATGCGCTTGTGGATGGATGTTATTCAGGTCTCGTCATGGATGCTCAGGTTTAGAGGTTGGGCACGGATGCTCTGGATCATTGGATGCGACGGAACACCGAATCTGGTCAACAGGTGCACTTGAACACGGACGCCGTTTTGGCGCGTGCACATTACGCACGGATTCTGTTTATCGGATGCGGTCGGGGATGGATGTTTTTGTGGGTAGGCGCGCTGGAGCATGGGAGTTGTTCTGGTTTAGGCATGTGCGTTCTGTTACTCGGATGTGCTTGGGAGCGCACAATCCGGTTGCGTTCTTACAAAGGCACCCCAGGGACAGTCTGCTACCAGGCCCCAACTCCAAGCCGGGAACTTCTCTGAACTTTGATTCCCCAATCCCTACACCTTCAAAGTGAATCCCAGCTCTGCACATACAGTGCGCACCTAGCTAAGACTAGGGATGCAATAGAAGCCAAACATCTCCACCGCCATCAATGCGCAGGAGGAGGCGCCGGTGCCCTGCAACTCCAGCTGCACTGTGTTGGCCCGGCTCTCGCCGTTCAGAGAGTCTGCAGACCGTAGCCTGTTTCAGAAATCTTGTTGGGGATGTAGAAGCTTTACGGTTATGAGGATTTGGGCTTTGGTGTTTATGGGAGCCGAGGCTTTGTTTTGTTGGGGGAGGTTTGGTTTAGGGCCTAACAGGCGCCTTTGGTGTTCTGACACTTGTGACAAGCTTCGACTGCAAAGGGCGACTATGACCTTTCCATTGCCCTTCTTAGCTGCCTCGCGCACATTATCATATCATTTCTGACTGCATGGCTGTGGCCCGAATAAGTAGGATCATCTTTTCACGTACCAGAAATGAAAATCCACATAGAATATTCAATGTATGAAGGAAGAATATTGTCGTAGTAGCACTTGCTCAAGCTTCTACCTTACACCCAAGACCCAGAGAACAGAGCCTGAAGCCCTAAACTGCTGCAGGTGTAGTTGCCTATATGCCATAAGATTTGCCAGAGCCGTAGAGTTGGTGTTGGCGCCCACCCGCAGCACGCGGGGCGCTGCGTCCTCCTCCACGGGGAAGTCGCGGATTATGCGAAGCCTTCATGGGGATCCCTCAGTGGCTGAATTTGGTGGTTCTTTGGGGTCCAAGCAGGTTAGGTAGCCTTCGGTTGAACCCTACTGATCCCTAAACCCAAACCCACAAGGCCTGAATCTGCCGTCCCTCTGCCGCGGCAGGACCTGGGCCAGTGATTTTTGTCTGTTGCTTTAGGGTTTAAGGCTGTTAAGTGGCGTTATTACCGTTGCTCGCAGCTGCTAGATGCTAGCAATTCAATTGACTCTTTTTGCTGAGGACCTGGGCGGTCGAGCGGACCTCCTTGGCATTGATGTATGCAAGGATGTAGAGCGCTTTGCTACGGGCCTTGCCGGTCATAAGCTTCAGGTCTACAATGCGAGACTGGTCGAGTACACCGGACATGTATCCAGCAAGTGCTTTGACGTCGGTCTTGTCAGTCACATTGAAGGTCTCAAAGAGCATGGGTACCAAAGGAGGCCGGACGCCCTTCCAGACAGGAACCTCCACTGTTTGTCTCGCGACTGCCCGCGATGGGCTTGGAACACCATATGTCCTCGCACCCGAAAGCCAGAGTAAGTCAGGACTCCACCCACAAAGGCACACTGCTAAGCACGCCAGGAGCCGTGGCAGAGTCGGCCGCGCTGGTGGCCGCTGCGCGCATGAATCCATCGCGATTGGGCCCAATGAAAAGTCTATGATGCTCAGTCCCCTACAACATGACTGAGATGCCCAAGTTGAGCGCAAGAATCCTGAGGCTTTTCCTTTCTAAGAAGGTCTGACCAGAAGAAAACAGCATATGTGATCGTTCCTTGGTCCTTACGAAATGGCTTGCTACCAAACTTGTTTCCTTGACACCGGGCAGAGGCAACACTGATCTCAGAAATTGTTGCAGGACAAAAGCTAACTGATCAATCTATTAAATTGCATACTGCCTCATGATGATGAATCGTTTGGGTGAGCTTTCTGCTTTGTTTTGGGTAAGGCACACTGCTTGATGAGGAATATCTCGGGTCCCTGGATTTGGAAAGAAGCATCCGACTAGGCATCATCCCAAACCCCGAAACCTGCCCCTCATAAAGCAGTCGAGCGTTGAGGTGCATAAGTCTGCTCATAGATTAGCCTTCTTGCGGGTGGCAAAGCCTCACAATGGAAATCTACACGACCCCATCACACAGTTTGCCGGCCTGCGACAGCGCTGCGGACCTCATGGCTGTAAGTAGGAAGAGGCTGAGAGGGAGTGGTCGATCAACGTGGGATTCTGATCCATGCCGAATCACAATACGGTCCAGCCAGGTAAGCTCTGCACAAAGACCCCATTTCAGCATGCCTGCAAATTAAGCACTGTAAAACGCCCAGAACTTCCCCCCTTCAATGATGAAACCTGTCCCCTTACCCCTCCACACCCCCACAACAGAACCGTATTCATCCAACAAGCACTCCTCCTGGGTGAAGAAGACTTTTCAGAAGCCCCGGCGGTGCTCTTGGAAGCCCTCAATTCAGATTACTCCTGTGGAGTGAACTCACCTTGGGATCCGGCGGCAGCGCGACATGAGAAAGGCCGCGAACAATATGCCGACAGGAATACAGAAAATGCATCGGAGGCTTCATGAAATCAGAATCCCTGCGTCCTCTGCAAAGCTTTCAATGTGGGCTCCATATGATTGTGAAGGATTTTGAAGAAGCTGACGTCAAGGCAAGAAGCTGCTCACTAGGCGCCCAGGAGGGCTTTCCAAAATAAGGGGTCCTTTGTTGGGGGGGGATGGGGCTGCATAGGGCTTCTATATGGAGACCTAGGGCTCACAGCTGACGCGGGTACCTTTTGGGAGGCCTGTGCTACTGACCACATTATACTTGTAGGGACTCAGGGGTACATATGGTGGGTTACGTTTATGGTTCAAGGTGCTGCTACTTCTAAGTTGAAGTCATGGAAGGTCATAAGTGGTTTGTCGGTAACCTAATCTATCACTGCAGTTCTGCTACGCATTATTCCACTTCTAATCACTCTTGAACCTTGAAGTGTCCCGTACCTGATGAACAATAAATCTAAATTCCTGCTCCGAGCAACCAGTTTCATGCATGACCTGCGAGAAGATTGCTTCGAGGAAGAATTCCAGAGCCGAAGCGCGGCACGCACAAGCAAGAAGGACTTGAGGCTTGGGAGCGCCTGGTTCTAAGAAGGCCTCATATGAGCCATATCCCCCTTAATAACCCGTATCCCCACTATAATCCCCTATATAACCCTTTTAAGGAGTTTGGACTATTGCTCATGTCATGAATTTCAGGGGCGTAGAAGCGAGCTACGGACACTAGCTGTTTTGGGCATTGAGGGCTGGAGCCGCAGCACCAAGCAGCCTGACACAAACAGTCAAACATAACTGCAAAATTTCAGCAATGGCTCAGCAGCTCTTGAGATGGGAATAGCACACGACATTCCCAGCAGCTTCTTTATTTTGACCAGAACACAGCGCTGGAAGACCAAATTGGGAAACGCACAGCGATGGAAAGGAAACTAATCAAGCAACCCGCCCTCGCTTGTATACAGTGGTTTGCATTTTTTCCATTGAAAGAAAGGAAACAAAAACTGCGTTCTACAGACCTGGAATCAAAGCCCTTAATGACAAGCCAGAGCACCTTCTCAGCCAGCTCCTGCAACCAAGGCTGGGAGGTGCAAAACGAGTTCGATGGTTGACGGCAGTCAGCACTGATACGATGACTATTTTACTATTCCTCTTCTGCCTGCAAAGGTCACTTCTCTAGCTACGTGACCTGCTAGTGCTGCATAGTTAAAGCAGGAATCCAGGAGAAGAGTACGACATGCAGGTGCTCCACCCTAGTTAGCCATGCTGTCACCCGCGGTTCTTTGTAAAATGAACACACACACACACTCTCTCCAAGCAGTTCGCATGGGCACTGCGCATGTCAAGTTGCAGTAGCCACGATGGATCGCGCCATCGGTTTCCCTGGCCATCCCTCAGCACAGCCCTACAGCATCCTAGAGCCCAGCCGTCGAAATCAGTCGCATGGATTTGCGCTTGCCAAGATGGAGCAGTCCCATGTGAAATCCTATCCGCTGCTAGATAGCTTAAGGTTCCGAAGCGCAACCCTGCCTACTTACATTCCTGTGGTTCTGGTCATCTAGCGGAATGTCTACCACCCCTGCCTCCGAAGACTTGGCCTGAGGGTCCAAGGGCACTGCAAACTGCAACTTGTTGAACTTGGCACATGCGTTGAAATCGCCATTGCCCACTCAGCCCTGCCTTGCATCCTTTGAACCTCAAAGCCGTGGCTTTTCAAAAGGAGCTATGAAGAGACTGATAGGGGTTCCTTCACTGCCAACTCCAAACAAGATCTGGGCCAAGAGCCACCCTGGCAGCGCCCAACAAGTCCGCAACCTACACTCCTTACTTGGGACCCTGGGTCGACTTTGCTCATGGTCCTGTTGAGCCTAAAACCTGTCACCCCAAACCCTAAGTCTTAGTCAACAAGCCCCAAAAGGCCTTGCTTTCTTGCGAACGCAGTATCCTCGCGAAATGGTGTCTGTCCCCTCAAACATTCCTTGACTGAAGGGGCCATGCTAAAGGCCTACGGTCTGAAACTTCATCCTGAACCCTAGCCCCACTCAACCCCTACAGCACACCCTAAAACCCTTAAACCTTACCCACTGACCTTCCACCGCCAAACTCCAACACCCTAAAGTCCAATGCCCTCCTGCGCTTGGAGCTCAAAGGCTGCCCGCGCATCCGCGCCAAGCGCCATGGCAGTGGAAAACTTTGGGCTCCGAGGTTTAGGGTTTGGGGGGGGGGGNNGGGGGGGGGGGGGGGGTGAGGCTGAAGGGTCAGGGGCTTGGCGTTGATGTCAGCATTTATTGTTCGCATTACTCGTGCTCGCTGCCTGGCTTTTCGCGAAATTCAGCTCTCGATTCGGGCTGAGGGTAGGAGGTTCAAGGTGGGAAGGCTGCTGAGGGTAATTCAGAGCACTTTGCTTGGGGTTTGTAATGTCGAAAAGCGTTACGAGGCCGCTTGAGGCTTTGAGATTCCATGGTTGGGGCTCCGAACAGGACAGATGAACTGAGCCGTTCTTGCAGGGTTGAATGACTATAACAATACTGGCAATGCTGGTGGCAAAAATTGCGGAATATTGACAGCATTTCGAGTACAGTAGCAGCCATGACGTCGAGAATGTTGCGCATAGGGTAGAGGAAACAATGAGAGGTCAAACATCAGGGGCAAACAGGCTGCACACCGCATGTGGGGCTTGGTGAGGCAAATCGTGGAGATGATGGTGTCATGGGTTAAGTTCGTGGTTATTCAAGGTTTCGATTTTGGGTTTAAGATGGTTTAGGGTTGTCACGCTAGACCAAGCAGGAGACGGCCGTGGAAACATGACAACCTCATGGAACAATATACAGCCATGTAACGGCGGTCAGTGCCGGCAAGTCTGCTCTACCAACGTTCAAAGTGCCACCTACCAACGTTCAAAGTGCCACCTAGATGGAAGCGGGAGCTAGATGCCGTGACCCAAAAGCCCTTTGCCGTCAACGTCCTACCGTGCCAGACCTTGCCTGTCATCTCGACAGACTTCGCTGTAGTCCTGGATGGCAACTCACAAAAACAGGTCAGTGTGGGGGAAACGGATATATGGGCCTTACATCTCTGCCATGACTTCCAAACGTCAAAGAGTGTGATCTGGGGTGAGTGAATCCAACTGAGGATTGGTATGGGGATACTCTCTTGAAGTAGCGCCCAACAAAGGACGGAGAAGCTCCTTCTTGGCCCCAATTCAGAAACCCTAAAGCCTCTGAACCCCAACATTGCAAACCCAGAACCGCCGTCACACCAAAGTCGTCACCGTTCAGTCCTCACTCTCAGTGTCAGATGAGTATTCCGCCTGAAGCGGACAGTTGAAGGTTTATCTGTTCAGAGCTTAGGTCTGTCGATTTAGGCTGGAGAGGTTCAGGCCTTTGGTTCACTTGAGGCTGCAACAGCGGCTTGTGCTGAGGAGCCGAGGCCTGTAGGCATGCGATGAAGAGTTTGAGGTCAGAGGCTGACTGCAGTTGGCTTTTAAGGTGAACTTTGCCCTTTAGGTTTCCAAGGTGAGCTTCAAGCTGAGAGCCCAGAATCTCTACTGCACCACCTTTGATCCCTAAAACTGAACACTCAACAGCCTGAGTTTGGGACACCTCATCTCAAAGTTTTTCTACTGACACAAATGAAGCTGTGTGATCCGGCAAAGGGAAGCTATGCTCCCGTGCAAATCCCTGTGCACCCCTGGATCCCCAAGCTTTTAGGCTGTCCCTGCTGTGAGAAGGTCTACAGCCTAAATCCAAAACCTTAAATCCTGAATTCTGGACCCCAATCCCAAAGCTCCTTCGGGGTACCATCAAGGGCTCCTCCCACTTTCGTGCACTGCTATCTCCCACCTCTTCATCAAAGCTGGAGAAGCTGGATGCCTGTGATGCAGCA